ACAAATACAAACGCACGTACACACATGCGTACACACGCAGAAAATACACACACACACACACACACACACACACACACACACACACAGAAACACACACTCACACTCACACGTAAAATATACTCAATAGATAGAGCAGATTAAAAATTATTGCATACTAACGAGAGTCAACAAAAAATAAGTAACGTATTGTGTTGAATTTTGGAGTACGTATTAAATAAATGAATAACGTATTGTGGAGTAGCTTACCATCAGAAAATCCATAGTTTACAGAAGAATGCAGCAGGTCAGTAGAAGTTGCTCTCTCTCTCTCCCTCTCTCTCTTTCTCTCTCTCAGTTATTCAAGACCAACATGGATTCGCAGTCAGTGGGAACAATCTTCGCTGTTTCTAGGACATGTAAGTGTCATAACCACGACTATGTCACAGTTACACGCGCCATCTGCTGATTTGGCCAGGAACTGCAGCCGCATCTAACATTTCTCATAAAACAAAACAAACTAATTGCTTTCAGATTAAGGGCTTAACATGGATTGTCTATGCATAGCTTATTTGTTTTATGTTTTCTTATTATCATAATAGTTGTGCTGTTCTGAATTCTTTGTTGATTATTAATTCTATTCTTTCTGCTCTGATTTCAAGTAGCACTCCGTTACTTTACGATATCAAATTGAGGGCATTCTTTGGGTAGCAATGCACGTTTTGTACAGAATTTAACTGTCTTGATACTTGCCAGCAATTTTTTTCGCTTGCTTGAAAAATCAACGATATGAAAATTATACTATGGCCTAGCGACGAATGTACCTTGTAGGGCCGTAAGGTCGCATTAAACATGACCGTAATTTGGTTGCCTTAATAGCAATCCTAATACAAGCCTCGCTATCTTTTATCAGCAACATGAAAGAAAGTCTCGAAATAGCTTATAGCTTTACATATAGAGAAAGGAAAATGGGGAGATAGAGATAGGAAAAGAGCTTATTTGCATCGCTTTCGCCTCAAGGATGGATTTTCACCTCTTAAGCTCTAACCACCTAAGATAACAGACTGAGATAAGAAATATTGTTTCTTCCCCGCAATTCCAATTTGAACCCTGGCTGTGTGTGTAATCTGATGACATTTTGCTCTGCAAGTTGTGATTTGATACGTTATCTTTGTGTAGTCGTCAAGTAGGTTCCCTGTATGGGAGATACGGGAGTGTGCGGCGTTAGGTCTGTCCAGGGTGCTGACTTGTGTGTGGTGGTGGTGTTTTAGCAGATTTGCAATGCGCGTTGTAAGAAGCCTCAAGTCACAAGGGGGAACTTGACAAACTGAGTCAATACAAACATGTAAGGGCATTGCCATTCAAATATCTGCTTGGGGAGAGTCAGAACAACATAATGGATATTTATTTCAAACGTTCAAGCAACTAAACTAAATTCTTGTTCTTGGTGAGAATTATAACGAGATAAAGATCGCACTACTTCAATGGTAAAAATCAAGGAAACCGCTGAATTTTTTTCTCAAAAGAAAGACAGATTGTTGTTTTTTCCTTGTTGATTTTGTTCCATTTGTATAGAAAGGTAGGCATGGCCTACATCTAGTAACGGCTCCCGAAATTCAGCCAACCTTGGTCGGCTTGTGTTTGGGGGAAGGTTCTAAATGTGTATAACAGTGGCTTTTCTGTGCTGGGAATAAGAATCCATAGTACACAAAGCTCACAGTTTACACAACAGAAGTCCAGCAACCTAACAACCACTTTTTGAACTGTCTGACTCTAACATGAATCTAATTTCACATTTTCCATCATTGAAATTGAGAATGGCGCCTGTAATAACTGATTTTCAAAGCCTGTGGCACAATTCGCTGCGCAACGTGTGCGGCAAAACATGTCCCCAAACTACTGAGGGCAACTAGTTCATTCTTGACGGCGCCAATTTTTTTCTACCGCCGTCGTCATTTCAGCGCCACTTTAAATTGCTAATATTCTCTCTCACACAACGTTGCTTATGACTGATGTAACATTATAATTTCTTTTTACCAACGGTTTGTGCTGTAGTTTGATACCTTACAAGTTTAAAGCAATCGTAGATTTCCTGTACATCAATTTGAACGGTTTCAAAAAGATAGCGGTAAGTACACTAACAAAATTATACTTCGTACAAAAGCAATTTTTCTTAAGACAATCATGTCTACAAGCATAAAATCCAAAACTTTACATATAAGGGAGAATTTACACTGCGCTCTCAAACCAGAATTGTGTAAAATTGTATTGGAATAAATTGTCTAAAATAGTTTTAAAGAGTTCGCAAATTCAAATGTTTTCGTGTTGCGCATAATTTATCTTGAATTGATCGCTAAGAGCATGACTCGGGCTACTTTTCCCGCCAGAACGACTTTCCTGTCAGGCCGGTTGGCGTCTCGTTTGATAGTGACGTCATATGCTGGCGACAATATGGCGGACGCCGATAGAAAAGTAAATCCGCGCCACATTACAGATACATGACACCTGACCTTTCATGCTTGGAAAGCAGAGATTAGAAAACATGAAGTGTTGAAAGAACTCATGTGCGTATCAAATACGCACCGAGCTAGTTTTTATAAGGTAACCTTTAGTCATACCCATTCAATTTTGTGGAGTAGAGAACGTTATTTTGGTTTCAATGGCCTGCGATTCTTACAGTAATGAATTCTATGACTGGATGAGTAATCAAATTTGTGTTCGGGTTATTTGTAAAACAAGAAAATCAGCCTGAATTCATATGGATCTTACAATCTTCTTTTTACTCGAACAGTATTATTTTTACATAGATATTTCTACCTTTAATTATTGTAGAATGAAAAAAAAACACCATTTCTCCTTCAAGTATAAAAGTGATGGAATCTGAATAAGGGAATTTTTTTCGTATATGTTACAGAATATTTAGCAATACCATCTTACTTGAGCTATAACCAACCAGAAAGAATAGTATTTGGCATAGAGCCTCAGTTACTTTGGTCCTTTAACATGGCCAGGACTATAAAATTGCTGCTAAAACATAGTAGTACATGGATCTGCCACGCCGACATGCGATAATGATACACACTGCAGACTGCACTTCACACCAACCTGTTGAAGGTTCGAGGTCCAGGTAGAATAATAATAGAATATGAAAATAAATCAAAGACTTAGGTAAATTCCATGAAGAGACAGACGCTTCCGATAGCTGTCTTTCATCATAATATATTCTCATGTAAGCCACTGGATGTTAACTAAAACGTCTGACTCTTCCAAGAATTCATCCAGTTTCTTGTTTTTTTGGTATTATTCATGGAACCTGTAGCTGAGAACATTTCTCTTTTGTGTTGGAACAAAAGTTTTACTTTTAAAGGTAAAGATTTAACCAATGAATTATTTTTTGGACTCATTATTGCGTACCACAACAAATATCCTTTTATAAGTTAGACTTATTGTCTACTTTTCATTAAGTCAGTTTGGCAAAGTCAAGTGTATGTACTTCATTCGTACATTATCCATTAGAATACATCACTACACTTGGAATTCCAAGATTAAACATTAAAATGACTTACAAAATAACATCATCGTCACTTGAACTGTTATAAGAAATAGATAAAACCACAATGTTACAAATTATAAGAAAGAAAAACATTCAGTCGATATAATGATGAAAAGTAACATTAATTTTAAAAATTAGTATTGATGATGCCTATTTCAAAATGTAGCCGATTGTTAAACAATATCTTGAATAGTTTCTGTTGTAGTTTTCTCAGTTACTAGGTTGAATTAACTGTACTTAGAAAGAACGGTTAACCCTCACTATTCATGGTTGGGCAATGATTAAAACAACAACTTTGGCAAATATGACAAGCTACGATGTTACTAATCTCAAGACATGTGTTTTTTCAGCAATGTAACTTATAAATAATAGGTTTACATACATATTAATGATCCCTTAACACATGAACTACTTGCATTGTGATTTATTTCCCCAATCTATTTTTTTAGAACTTTCCATGTGCTTTTTTCTTTCTATATACGCGACGTCAGAATCATTGTTGTATCCAGAACCGTGCTTTATCCAAAGCCATGCTCAGACAAGGTTCTGGATTGTCCACGCGTATGGAGAACTGTGCAAATCTACGTTCTTGGATACGCAGAGACTATTCAGAAACGCTCATGATCCTAACCTTAACCCATTCAGGTATAGAACTAGGTAGGCAATATTTTGATTTGCCCTTACTGCCTCCCAAAAATTGTGCTGTGCGAATTAGAAAGTATAAGTATAGATTGTTCACAAATTATTTGCTTGGTAATCAGGATGTGTTTATGTAAAACGTTAACCAACAAATCTCTAAGTGGCACTAGAGCGAACATTCAATGATCTCCAAGTTCTTGTAATGATCTCTCAAAGTTCCTGCAATTATTGTTTTTCCGTGATCTCAAAGACCAATTGTCATTTTTTGTCGTTCAAATAGTTACCCAACGACAGCTTCATGGCCGGTGATTAACCGTTAAAACTTAAATGCAAATTGAATTATGTTATTTCTGCATTTGGGTACAGCGAATTTGGCTGAGAGGCAGTTGATGCTGTACCATAGGATAAACTTCTAGTATCCAAGGATTCAGCGAAGGCCTGACATTGACCCTGTCCTGTCTGATCATGACTACTGGGTATTTCAGCTGTTGTAATGTCTGTGTAGGATTCACTAATGGCCTACGATTCGGTCACAGCATTGTAAAAATAATTTTCCTGCAAGGCAGTCGGCCCTGTACCATAAGATACATTTCTGACATCCAAGGATTCAATGACGGCCTGGGACTGGCCCTGCCCTGTCTGATCATCACGGTTGTCAGTATATTCATACTGGTTACTATGGACACTGGCCATTACAACCTCTTTGACATTTGTGTTTGATTTAGTGATTGTCTGAGACTGACCCTGCCCTGTCTTGTGATTGTTGTCAGTATATTCATACTGGTTACTATGGCCACTGGCCATTACAACCTCTTTGACATTTGTGTTTGATTCAGTGATGGTCTGAGACTGACCCTGCCTTGTCTGATCCTGATTGTTGTCAATATCTTCATACTGGCTATTCAGTACAGACTGGCTGGTCAGTACAGAAACTGCTTTGATAGTGTGTGTATCGACCGCATTTGAAGGGTTTCTGTTCCTCTTCATGTACCAGATTGTGAGAATAACGGTGCTGATCAGGACAATGCCAACTATTGGGCCACAGATTGAGCAAATGAGAACAACCAAGGGGAGACCGGGAACAGTTTTGGGGGAACTGCTGATTTCTGGTTTGTCTGAAGTGATTGCAAGGGATGGGGTTAGTGTTGCTATTATTGGATTCGTTTTTTCCACAGGACCCGTTGTTAAGCTAGCACTGCGTTTAAAGTACCAGTGATAACGAGAGGTGACAGTACCATTGTAACAGTGTTCAGAACTCGTTTGGATATCATCGAGCAGTGTAAGATTGGTTGGCGTTTCACACATCAACTCTTCAAGATTGATATCTGCTAGCTTCTGGCCCTGGAACTTGAGGGGTTGAGCACATATTATCTGGCCTTTAAAAGAAGGGAATTTGGTTGTATTTAGCATGAAACGAACCATACTGCAGTCACACTGCCAAGGGGTATTGTCAAGTTGTATGGTACGGATAGATGGCAACAAGCCAAAAGCTAAAGGAGAAATAGCAAGCATTTTGTTGGACCGAAGGTCCAGGTCTTCGACTTTGGGTAGATTTGAAAATGCACCAGGCTCAATCATCGTTATCTTGTTGTTCGCCAGGCACAAACCTTCGAGTTCGGGAAGATTTGTAAATGCACCAGACTGAATTGTTGTTATCTGGTTGTTGAACAGGAACAAAAGATTTAGCAAGGGTAGATTTTTAAATGCACCTGTTTGAATCATTGTTATTTGGTTATAGTTCAAAGTCAACTGTATGATTTTGATTAGAGAAGCGTAAAATACAGGCTGAATAGTTGTAATCTGGTTGGAGCACAACAAAAGAGCTCCGAGCTCGAGAAGGTTTACAAATGTACTAACCTGAATGTTTCTTATCTTGTTGGATCGAATGTCCAACACTGAGAGCCGGGGAAGATTTGCAAATGCACCCGTCTGAAACTTCTTTATCTGGTTGAAGGACAGGTTCAATTGATACAGTCGAGGTACATTTACAAATGTACCATTCTTAATCATTGTGATCTGGTTATTGTTTAGATACAAAAGATAGAGCCGGGGTAGGTTTGTAAATGTACCTTTCTGAATCATTGTTATATTGTTAGCATTCAAAGACAACGTGTGAAGCAAGGGAAGATTTGCAAATGCAGCTGTCTGCATTTTTGATATCTGGTTATTGTGAAGACTCAAGGTTTGTAGACAGGGTAGATTTTCAAATGTATTACTCTTCATCATTGTTATCCGGTTGGCGGTCAAGTCCAACTTATAAAGCAAGGGTAGATTTGCAAAAGCACCAGGTTGAACCTTTACTATATGGTTGCCGGACAGGGACAAGTGTGTTAACCTGGGTAGATTTGAAAATGTACCGGGTTGAATGTTAGTTATTTTGTTCTCCTGTAAGTACAACTCTTGTAGCTTGGGTAGATTGGGGAAACAATCAACAATGCTGATTTGATTTTTCGCCAATTGCAACTTAGTTAAATGTCTATACTGTAACAGCTCAGACTGATTTACAGTTTTGATTAGATTATTATCTAAATCTAAATAAGAGATGGATGTTGGGAGGTCCTGAGGGATGGTGCTGAGTCCAATGTTATTACATTTGCAGGGTGATAATAACTGTGAACACCTGCAGCCAGCGGCGTCTGGCATTTTAGACTCCTTCAAGATGATGAGAAGGAAAATCAGCAAGTGTCGCAGCTTTCTTCCCATGATGTCCAGCCACCTAAACAGAACAGGAAGCTCATCTTAAGCCACAGAGACGCTGTCTCCTTTTCATTTCACATCATTCATCCAGGACGAAACGTAACTAGACCTGCTGTACTCTATAATCATAGGGAACAGTGTCAAGCAAAGGTAAACCACCCTTCCCTAGTCCGCCTAGCCAAGCCATTTTCTGCCCAATGAATTGCAGCTACTTTGGTTAGAGAGTTTGACTGCTAGATGTGACCCCCCTCCCCCCCAAAAATAGAAAGGAGGTAATTTAAAATGTTTCCCGTCGGTTCCCAAGCCAAAGTCAGTCCATTTGCCTTGCCAATGCTGTACGTATGAATGATGCATGCCTATCGGCTCTTTCTCTAAAAATAATATTCTATAAATTTCTATAAAAAGTCTTTACACTAGCAAAAGTAGCCCCAAATCAGTTAATTTTAAAGGTGTGTAAACCAAACATTTAATAAATTTCTGTTGATACATATTTATGTTGAAGGCACACCCATACTAAGGTTCAGATCATTTGGGTTTGATACCAGGGCCTTAGAGCCCAAATTGTACATTTGGAAAAACCACCCCCACAAAGAAGACAATTTTAAAACCCTCTAAAAATTTAGAAAAAAAAAACATACAATTTTTAAGTGGCCCAGACATCAAAGTTGAGTCCTTGTAACGAAATGGCAGAAAGGGGAAACATGAGGATAAGCAATGCATTTTATTTATGCCTACAGTATGGAGTGAAATTAAAAAAAGAATATTGTGATGTTGTTTATGTGGCTGCGTTGATTGTCTGAAACTGGTTGTTTGAATATTAACATTAATGGTGCTCTTCTGGCGTTTTTACGACTTTGATTCCAACCTCCAGATAAGAGACCAGCATAAGGACAAGAATATAAATTCTCTTAAAGAGTGCCTATATCTGCCTACTTCAAAAATACAACAAATGCAATTATTACTCGACTCTGTTCATTTGTAACTGCTGTCTAAACGTCAAATAAGGGTAAAGAAATGCGTTGTGGCAGTTACTGTATGTGGATGGTCTAAAGCCTTATGACAGAAAACAACTACAGGTCTAACGTTAATCATTCTATTCCCTCGCAATAAGGGATTGTCAATCTTAATTTTCTAGTTCTGGCAGAACTAGTACCTGGTGCATGAAAGTACCAGGGTGCAGCACTCCTGTTCCCATCCCCAGAGCTAATCTAGAAGCAGGCCTGTTCTTCTGCAAGATTGTTTAACGTTTCTGATGTATTTTTTGCCAGCTGATTACCCTTGCCAACAGTCAGAAAAGGTTACAATCATTTGGGCATTTAAAATCTTCTGCAACGATGTAACCAAAATGAGGATACTCTTAATCGTCACCACAACACGTTTGCCTTTTTAACATGTTTATCCAGTGGTAGACACATACTAGTACCTTTGAAGACAGCCAGAATAGTTTCAGTCGAAAATTCCTGGGAGGAACCCGTGTAGAATGTCTCAAGCGCCGGTTGTTGTCGTGTTGGGTGCGCCCTTTTGGTAGCTGATCCGCAATGCCGTGTGACAAACAACCCAAGATTGGTCTTACGTATGATGGTGGTGTTGATTGTCTGAAACTACTTCTCTAATATTTATGATGATGACGATGTAAATTATAATTATGATGCAGGTCTCGATAAACATGGATACTATTTTACGTATTTGATTTTTTTATTTAAATTTGATATGGAGTGTGCCTTAGATAACTGATGCTCATAAAGAGTTCTGGAAGCGCCATGGACGATCAAGATTTTGAAACGTTGGATAGGTTTTGAAACATGGATGAAGTAGAGTACTAGATGAAGCTGACAGTGGAATGACTGTAAGTCAACTGCCTGCAGTGATGGAGGATAGAGAGAAATGGAAGCAGAGAGTCATGAGGAGACTCCGAGTGAGCTTGACGCAGTGAGAGTGAGTGAGTGAGTGAGTGAAGTAGAGTACGTTTGCCCCCCCTCCTGCAGTTTGTTTGCAAGTTTTGTAGAGTTTTCGTCTGTCTGTCTTCTAAGGTTACTTCTCTTGCTAAAAAAATCGAGAGCCTTCAGCTATCAAGGTAAGACCACTTGAGCTTCTGCTCCACGTGTTGTTTAGCCGTGATGGGGTCGTACTTGTTGGACCCGTCCAGACAGACCAGTTTGGTGTCCTCGTCAGGGTGCGTGAAGAACGCGATGGACCTGCGGAACGACCTCCGGTCTGCTGCCGACTCCGGCATCACCACACGGTGTTTCTGAGGGAAAGTTAAAGCTAGCTGCATCATGTAACATTAGGACGGTACTAAACGTAAATGTTCTGATTTTTGCTTTATAAAGTAAGTTGAATTAAATGGTTATATCTTTGTAAATTAAGTTGAATCAAGCCTACGCCATTCAGGATGTGGAGGTGCCAAATTATACTATATTGTCATAAATTATTTTAATTGTTTAATTCTGTTCTTGCTCATCGGAACTTACCTTTGCGATATTATTGTAATGTGTTGTAATTATCATTCTATATATGTCAAGTGGTGACTTTAATATAAGCTCTTTCGCTTGAGTGTGTCACCAGTATGTATTATTTTGTTGAAATGTTGAAATGAAAAAAATTATGATTCCTTACAAGTGTGTCTAAGAGTTGGAAACAGCTGTCAGCCATGTTTGTTTACATTCTGGTATGGTATTTTGTGGTGGTACCACAAAATGCATACGCCACAGCATGCAAAAAACGCGGAATATCTGGGTTTCTTGGTTCTGCCGACGTGCTCGCAATTTTAAATAGCATGACGTTTTTCACGTGACACAGTTGGCGGTTTGCATAAAAAGCGCGCGTTTTTTAAAAATAAAAATCGTATGCTTAAGCATTCCTGCATAACATAAAAATGAAATGTAATCATGAAGCATAATGGCACTTCAATTAGCCATTGGCCGCTTCGCAAGGGCTGGTGTTTTAGCCATGCAGAGGCTTAATGTCTATAGCTAAGGATTGAAGCTCCTTAATAATTGTCAAGCCAGGTTAAAAACCCTTCTGTGTTGGTGCATATATAACACCCTGAAAACAGTAAATAATATCAGACTTACCGTGGACACGAGCTTGTCGCCTGACCAGCGCTGTAACATGTCTCCTATGTTCACCAGGACACTGCCGGGAACGTACGGGGCAGGCTTATAGTCACCTTCCTTGTTCATCACCTGAAACAAAAGTTAACGTTTGGATGTAGTCTGCCTATGGTATACACGTTTTGTTGCGGTCACATTAGTCGTAGATTATGGTGCGAATTTGAGCAGGCTGTGACATGCAGGGTCCTGCAGGGACGGTATACAGCATTGTCGGGAACAAGACGGTTGAACTTCGTACGACACACGCACGATTAACCGAAGACCTACCTTAGTTTGCCATAATACGGCAAATGTGTCCCGGTCCTACGTTATATCAAACTCACGTCCCAATGACCCATACTTGATGAGCGTATGCAAAACATGAACATATTTACAACGTAACGATAATAGCTTAATGCACAACAAAGTTTGTCATCTCAGACATAACAAAGAAGCTGAGGTAGAAGTAGAATACCTCCAAGCCAGGGACGCCATCTTGGAACAGAAGTGTGATGGCACCCCAGTCTGTGTGTTCTCCGCATCTGTAAACAAAACAATCACCATGGCAACATAAATAAACATCTAATTACGATCCCATCTGTTTATTTTTAAAGTTTAACGAAAGACAATTTGCACTAATAGCCATAGAAACAAAATTAGACCCAAATGAACAAAATGGCAACTTTCTAGATATTGGTTTCTAGATCTTGTATACAAATGTATGTAGAAAACTAACCGTTAAGAAAACGCAATCAAAACAACCCAATAAGAAGAAGACAACAGACCTCATTTGTTTCTCGCTGACGTCATCCGGAACAGGTGGGTAGCGGAGCGCGCTTAGAGTAGTGCTGTTCGCCCCCCTCCCCATGTACTGGAACATACTCAGGAAACCTGGAACATCCTACAAAATACATTCAAGTTAGTTATGAAACTGTGGCCCAATGACATCCGTGCCATACAGCAGTCTCCGAGACAGAGGGTGCCATAGACTACCTGAAACATCGAATCCCCCGCACCGATTACATCCCTTACCTGCCTACAGTGCCTTCATAGGGTTTCGTTCAGAAATAATTACCTGTGTAGCGGGTAGATTTTCCTTCAATATTTACAATAGAAAAAAGAACATCTCTGGAAAAAAACACTTTTTTGTTGATTATGTAGACATAAATGTGCTTATTTCATCATTATACCCAATGGCGCAGTGAAACTTGTATATGTAGTGGCTACAAGTATTTGGTCGTCTTATGAGCGCCACCTACCGGAATGTGCAGGCCTCTGCCGATGAGCTCCAGTATCCTCATGTCCAGACGCCGACATCTCTCGTAGAACGTTACAACCTTGTCCTCAAAGTCTGGAACTTCTGTCGGCCACGTCTGCCCGAAATGTGCATCGTATAGAAAAGAAAGTGTAATTAGGACAAATTATATCTGTAACATTTTTTCGGTAGAATATTGCTTACAACCACGAGGAAGTTCTACGACTTTCATTGTTTCACATTTATTGCTTGCGGTTTCCATACGAGACCATATGATGGTGAAAGGACCCCACAATTGTACTGTCGAACAAAGAAACAAACAAAACAAAAACAAACAGAAATAAGGTCACTCACCTGTCCCTCGGAAAGAGGCATGTTGATATCGAAAGCCTCCTTGAGATTTCCAAGTGTTTCCAAGTTGCTTCTGCAGAACACACGTAAATCAAAACAAAAGAACTAAAGACGCATACATTTTACATATAATATGTCAGAGTACAGGCTGCTATCTGGTGTAGTGGATACAATTAACACATACATGGCTGTCCCAAGAATGCTCTCAGAGAGCAGTCGCACGTAACCTGGTCTCCAGTCTATCGTGGTTCGGTCTTCGGGGCTCTAATAGTTTTCCCCCGTCCTGCTCAACAGACCGCCCAGTAGGAGTGTTACGTCTTTAGGAGTTTTATTTGCACGTCGGGAGATGATGAGCCCCACCACGTGCACGTGGTGGGGCTAATTTAACTCCCGTCGTGCAAAAACTACCGGGGAACCTATAGCTGAGTCGGGCGGGGAAAAGCCCCTGCAACCCCGTAGAGAACCGTTCAAACCACGATAGACCGGAGACCAGGCTAGGCGTCCTGGTGCTTACCTCTCCCTGGCCACACACACCCATCCGTGGCGGTTGCGGGTTTTGTCCTGTGGCCGGGCGTATTTCTCCTTCACCTCCAGCGGCAAGTCAAAGAACCTATCCGCCACTCCGAACAGTTCCTCCGCCTGGACATAAAAAGAACAATGTCCTTAAATTACAATGGGAAAACCGAACGGTCTCTTCAAGCTGTATGTACATTATGTAACATTAGGAGTTTAGGACGATACAAAACGTTAATTTTCTGGTCATTTCGTAGCAAAGGAAGTTGATTCAACTGAACTGCGAGGTTTTTTTCAATTTATAAAAAAAATTAATTCGACGCAAATCGTACAAAAGCAGTGATTGGCTAACGCACAACTGAACGTGTTTAAAAGCTGGAAACACAGCTGTCAGCCATGTTTGTTTACATTCTAGTAGTTTGTGGAGGTACCACAAATTATTGTTCCTCGTGCGTGAAACACAAAAATAAGCACCCGCCTCAGATTTCTGTATCCCCGTGTTGGTCAGGTACACGAAACCGACAGTAGCAAACGTGTGGACCAGGTCATCGGCCAAAGGTTGAAGGTCAGCCTCGTTCACGTTGTGTTTGGAAAGGTCGTAAGGGCCGAAGTCTACAACGGGAATGTGTCCTTCCATCTCGGTAGTACTGAAACAAATACAACAGAAAGTACCTTCACAGCATGTCAAGAATAGATAAAGATGGCCGTTCTGCTGCAGTGACGAGGAAAACTGCTAGGTGGCTATACATTGACGTTGACCGCCATCTTTTACCCGTATATTCATATATCTTAGTTCTTACACCCAAATCCTTTTGTATTATGCTGGCCACAGACACACGGGCACAAACACTCAGACCAAAAGAAATAACACAAACAGGGGATCAAATCCATTATCTAAATTAAATATTGGCCCCGGCTGATCGTCTTGGCTAAAAAAGTGCAGAAAAACGAACAGAAATTAACAAAAAGCCCACATACTACCCGGCTGGGAACTGGTTTATAATGTTATTGCCAAACGATTGTTTTGGAATATCGGCCACGTCAATACCGTGAAAGGTATTCAACTTTGTTGTGTTCTAAATCATGGCACAGGTGGACCACGATTTGGAATGTTACATAACGCTTGTCGCATAACCACGCTGTCAGTTTCTTTAAATTAAGTGATTTCTAAGTGGTACGTTATTTGTTATCCAGAATTCATCGTTAGGCAAGACTGACAAACCAGGACTACATGTCGCATAGTCGAACGCGAGATGTCCAAAATTAAAGCCACAATGGGAAATTCGAATGTTCGTAGAACTAAACTACTCAAAGCTAGGTCAGTGCGTATCTATAGGAAGGTGCATCAATTTACATGTGTACCACCAGGCCAACCTTCGGGACAGACACTCTCAAAATATATGTTAAAATATTTGCTGTCAGAACATTTCCTTGCCTGCCCTTTTTTGCTACGTGATGATGCATACATGGGTCACAAACACAGTCCAAAGTGCACTCTCAAGGCGCTTAAGATATAACTATACTATAAGCAATCAAATTATAGGCTTCGTTATATGTGTCCATCGCATTAACTTTTGTATGACCTTAAGCGATTCAAAGTTTTTACAAGAATGGCCAGAGTGTAGTCTGTACGACTGGTAGTGCACACACGCAAGGCTAAAGGTCCATCTATATATAGCTAAAGGTTCACTATAGATATATACGTATCTGTGCTCTCCCTAAATACGAACTATAGGGTCCAAAGGTCAATCACAGGTAAAATTGGATATACTGGCACGTAAATACTGAAAAGGTCTAGGTAATACATTAGCCTCCGGCTCCAAACGACACGAACTAGTAACTGGACCTGTTTTCCACGAGAATACAGCATTTCCTAAAAACAGAAAAGAACTAAAGGGGAGTTTGGGACAAGTCAGACTCACGTTTTGCTCAGAACTGGGTCGCTGACCCCTGTGGCCTGTTTCCCTTACCCCGTTGAATGCAACGCGCAAGTGCAAACAAAGCGCCACCTGCTTCTAGCGACTCGTTAAGGAACTACAGCTGATTTGAGCACGTAAACTTTACGGCGAAGGATTATAGGTTGAAAATGAAATAATCATCAACTGGTTTTAAAGGTTATCCACAAAACTACATATGGCATATTTATGGTAGTTATTTAAATGAAACGAGACTGTAAAATTCTAGTAATTCTCATAAAATGTTTACAATGACGTTAAATAGGATGTATACTACATGTAATGACCAGGGGCAGACCGTTGTCATACATTTTCGGAAAAACTACAACCTTAATATAACGTGCCGACAGATTTGCCTAATAATTCACATCACCAACGAGTAACCCTTGTCCACCCTTACTAAAGGTTTCATTAACGCCACCTTGCGACTTAGGGCAGTACTGTATACCAAACCACTCCTAACTGCAAGATTTTTTCTTTAAAATATAGGGTACCATGCTCCGTATGTTTTTCTTTGCCATTTTCGTGGAATCCATAGTTATCTATTGTGTAAAACCGATGTTGAATGCTGCACACGTCCGTTTCATATATTCCATAGTCTAATTATTTGAATCTTGAAAGATGATCAATTTTCTCACTTCTAGGTTTTCTATTTCCCTTAACGTTTTACATAGTGTCACCCTGATCCAGCATCTGATATCTTCCTCTCATCTTTTCCGTTTGTTTGTTTAGGATCTCCATCAGTCTGAATTTCACACTACTCTTCCTGGAGTCCGTAGTGAATAATCAGATAAGTATTTGGACCATCGCACACCGGGGCATGCCCTACTCTTTTTCGAAAGGTGTGGTGGTTTCTTTAACTTGCGTGGGGTGTGGCTCTCCCCAAACACGGGACCTCCATTTAACGTCCTATCCGAGGGACGTCTCTAACCAAAGCTAAGTACTTTACACCTGATGGTAGTGAGGAAAGTCGTGTAAAGTGCCTTTCCCATGCCAAAGGCACAAGATCGGTGAGAAGGTGGGGTTCGAACCCGGGACCTCTTGGTTCCGAGCTGAAGACGCTACCGCTATACGCCACACGACCCCAACATCTTTTCCGTTTCCGTCCCTCTTTCTTCCTTCCTGAATTGTTCCTTACAAATGCGTCACTAAAGGTCAAACATGGACAACATAATGAACACAAATCGTTACCAGACGGAGCAATCTTCTGTCCGTACTTTGTTTCTATTTTTACAGAGATTAAAACCCGACTCAGACATCGGGCGTAATGTAGCATGCCTTCTTCAGACGATCAAGAGGAGTACTTTGGAAGGCCTTCACTTAATTTGTAGGCTTCAGTTAATGGTTTTAGGTTATTAGCATTCTCTGAGGTGCAATTACAGGGCTTCAAGGGCGTCCATTGGAAACCTTTGTGCCTACATTCGTTGTTTGAATCCAAAGCTTACAACTTTTAGAAATGTGCGTGTGTTGTTGCCTTGTTTGTATGGTTGTGCGTGTTTGTGTGTCTATGTGCGTGTATATATGTTTGTGTTTAAGTTTGTGTGTATGTCAGTGTACATGTATGTGTGTTCCTTTGATTGTGTGCCTAACTGTGTGTCTACGTGTGTATTGGTGTGCATGTCTGTGTGCTTTTCTATCATCGTGTGTGTCTACGTGTGTGTACATGTGTCACATTTATGTATGTATGATTGACACAGAGTGTGTACATATGTGCATCCTCCCAAATAACCATCTTAAAATGAACCAGCATCAATTTCATAAGCTTCTAAACTTCTGAACACTTCTATTCATATATTCCTCCAGACTCCTTGTCGTCTGACAAATAGATACACAGGCATCCTGACACTTAATATTCACAGACAAGACTAATGGACCTAAAAGCGAATGCACCACGTATGGCAGAAAAAACGTTAACTAGAAGGAGAGGCTCCAACTTGCGTCCTTAAACTAGTTCCTGGGAAAGAAAAGCGTAAATAAAGATTCCTTGTACGACGGTCAAGGTCGAAGTAGAAAAATAGATATCATTTTTAAACATCTTTGTGTTCGATCCCTGTACCACAGGCGAACTAAATCTGAAGTCTATTTCCCTCGTTCAGGACTTTATGATTGCAAGGAAACTTTTATTGCAGAATTAATCGTCAACTCGATCCCAACAAGACTCATAAAAGAAGATGAAATACAAGATTTGATTTTAATAGGTAAAACAATCGCAGGGGGGAAATTTCCCCATTACAGAATGACATACTTCCTCCTTTATTGGGGATTATGGAATACCCATAAAGAAAATATGTACATGATCAACAGTGTAATCACGTTAGGAGTCGATATGGAATGATGCCAAGTTGATGTTGAAGATTGCAGAAGTATTTGTGGTGTACCAGTAATGAGAAAAATTCGGAGAACATTTGAAGGATGGCGCGCCACAGAAATTGTCGTCTGGGAGCCATTTTACGTCAGACGTAATGGTGACTTATGGGTTAGAATGTTTCCGTTTGTGGGGAGGGGGCATGGGATACATTTGACCCTCCCCCCCCCCCCACTTCAGGAAACAACACTAAAGAACATATCAAAACTATATCTACAATTTTTGTGTGAAGAAAAACTCAGTGACGTGGCGTGTCAACAACACTGGTATGAATGTAATTTATAAAAAAAACGGACAAATTTAGTTACGCCAAATTTAGTACCTGAATGAAGTTTCAGTTTAGTAAAGACAGTCCTCCAGCTTTTGGAATACTAGGTATTCAATAGCTTTCTGACCTAAGTGCTGTAGACACGTGACTTTTACCCCCGTGTGACGTCAGCACTGGGTCAAAGTTCGTCGAAAGTCGGTACCGCCCCCGTCGTCCCGCGGCAATTCTCGTTATATAATTCAGATGAAGTTTCATGCAAGTAACTAGACTTATTGTTGCGCCACGAAATGCTCCTCTTACCATGCTTCATTTTGGCATGGACCAGAGGGTAAGCTTCCGGGATCAAAAGTTCCTTAAAGACGGTTCTCGTAACGTCTTCGGGGAAAATGTTTCATCTTTCTTCGTGGCGACACATGCACCGAACGTTTTACAGACTCCCCATCCGAGTCAACGAGGTGAAGACAGTAAGTAGAGACATTCCAGAGATGGGAAATGTACGTGTAATGTCGACTTGGATCATGAACATTACGGCGCCAAAGAAATTAAAGAAAAATGCACACTGAATGCAAATTAGACTGAAAATTAAAAAAAAGAGACGGAAAAGAAGGCAATATAGTGATATAAGAGACTACGTCCAACGTCACACCATATTCTACAATATTGGCACTAGATTTCTTGGGTCACGGCCATACACCTAAGTCTAACCAGTTCCTATAATATCGATTTAGCATTCTTTTGCAATCACCTTAGCTACATGATCAATCGTTCCGTCACGAAAACAATATATGTTAATTTTTGAATTATGTCATGTAGGCAGCGACACATGAGGCAGACGTTTGGGGACACGATCGACAGCCCAATTTTTCATCCTTTAACTTTTTGGCAGCACCAGTGACTTTTGCAACGAAACAAATATTTCTTTCGTACAGTGCAACAACATACTTTAAATCATACGTACTTAGGCCACACTGATTTAATTTCAAGGATGGCTTCCGCGCGCGCAGTGAATTTGGATTAAAATTCACTATGTACTACAGCAAATTCACAATACCG